TAACTCAGTAGCAAACCTACTCCTCTAATTTGCAGCCAGGGTATACTTTGGTCAGCTTATACCCATTTCATCTCATGCCTAAGTTGTCCTTTTTCTCAAATACCTCTTCTCTTCCACCAGTTTTTATTCCCTCCTGTATTTGTAGAGAATGATCATACCCATTTCAACCTTTGCTCTGTGAGGCTGAACAAACCATTAACTTCCATAGCTTCTTGAGGAAAAAGTTTGCTCTTAGCTCTCCTCACCCTCCTCACAACTCTGAGGTGAACTTCAATTTATGTGCATCTGCCCTGGTGACAGGAGCCAAAGCACTGCTGTCAGTCCTGAAGCCAATGTAGGGGCATGAACATGCTCCAGTTTCACTCCCTCCCACTCCTGCTTGATACCACATCTTCTCCCGGTCTGCATTTTTAAGATCTATTTTAATTTTCAGGTGATGACTTCAGTTTGGTCTCAGGCACATCTTGAAAATGCCCTCTTTCTCCCCCTCTGCATTCATTTCCTAATTAAGCAGCTACAAAGATATTTTGGTCAGTTATTGTCTGATTCCATTTCCCGGCATTTTTCTTTCAGACTTATAATTCCTAGTTTGATTTCTCAGCATCTGAAAATTGCTAGACATTATATTTGGGCAGGCAAACCTGCAGTGATATCTGGGAAGTCAGAGAGGACAAGATCCATAACTGGTTTTTTTGTCCTTAAATTACAGAAATCCAAGAAGTCTCAGTCTTCATATACTTACCCCTTTCAGAGGAATGCATGTCATAAAGAAACGCTCAGCCACATTTTTTGTTAAACCCAACTTTTCAACATGGAAACGCTTACAAAATTGTCATGTTTACTCAGGAGTTTAAAGATTTTTACACTGTGAGTAGGGGAGCAGAGGAGAGATTTTTAGTGGAAGTGCAAAATTTCTTTAGAAAACCAGGAAAAAAATGCTATGGCAATTGTGAGGGAATTATATTTAAGATGAAAACTAATGCTCCTGATCACCTATGCCTGGTGTAAGCCTCCCTGGAGGATCCAGGAATCTCAGCCATGGCCTGAGACTCTCGTTGTGTTAGAGATCTATGAACCTGAAGAGGTGAGGAGGGGGGAATATATAAAGACAGGTAATGCTGGTAGAATTCTGTAGACCTTTTCACAGGCCTTAGACATAAATCTGGTCTAATAAATCTAATAAAACACACAATTATGCTTTCTAAGCATAGGCTTTTACCTCAAGTTAGGCCAAAACGTAATTTCAGGGGAAGAAGAATCAAAGCAAGCACTCATAGGGGAAAATCTGTCGAAGCAGTGAACTTTTCACCTCTAACAGCTAGTAATGACCACGGGGTACAAGATCAGATGGTTCACTTAACCGCCGAGTAACGAAATTAGGCTAAAAGTTAGATCTAGTCTGCCCAGGGGCAACATGACAAATTAGATTCATCCACTCGCCATATTTGTATTAATGCACTTTTGTATTAGTGAACAGATTATAAAAGAAGGCTTTGCCTCGAGGCAGGGTTTTCTGGCACCAAACTAATTTTCAAGCTGAGGTTCTCCCCTGAGAGCAGGGTAAATCCCTCCCTTCTTTGCAGCCAAGGACCTGATCCTCAGCAAAGATTTACCTGTGAACAGCTCTTAACACTTCGGAGCTTTAAAAGCTGCAGATTTCTTTCAATAAAGCTACGTAAATTGTACGCTTTCTATATATGTTATAATGGAATATTTAGTTAGCATCTTTCTAAAATCACTCAGTGCATTCCACTGATAATATAAAAAAAAATAAAATAATAATAAAAAAGATGTTTTAAAATCAATTATCTGGGACAGGCTCTATAAAACTCATCCTGGCTCCCAGTCTGGGCTGGCAGTCAGTAGTGCGAACTGCTGACTATGCAGATGGCCACCTCTCCTCATGCCCTGGCTACTGCAACCCTGCAAAGGCTCGTAGCCCTGTGGTCTCCTGGTCCCTGGAGTCATGGGACTCACAACATTCAATGTCGGTTGCACGTGTGAGTGTTTCCAGCACCAGGCTTCACTTTGCAGCTGCAGCATCACAGCATCCCTCTGACCTGGGAGGGAGCTGTGAATCAAGAACGCATTTCTTTTTTTTTTCCTCTGAAGATGAAAGACTTTCCAAATTAACTGCATGGCATTATGGCTCGTCTGTGTTGTCAGCTCTGATTCTGCTGTGACAAAATGACGGCCGCTCGCTGTCACGCGGAGTGACGCCGCGCCTGCCAGCACCGCGCTCATCAAGTGGCAGCAGAGAGTGGAACCATCACTGGGAGCTGCACCCAAAGCTGTTTCACGGAGCTTGGTGCGGAGACAAGAACAGATGTGACACTCCTGCAGGGGAACCACCTCTCCCTGCAGCTGGTGTTGGCTCTGCTGTGCCACCCACCACCCTGTGCCAGCTATCCAGCCCTCCTTGCCCATCCTGGTGATCAGGGCAAATACCCTCCAGAGGTGTAATGTAAAACATTCAGAGCTGAATGCACAACCACTAGTTCTAAAATCAGAGACCTTAAAAGAGCAGCTCTGTTGCCTTAGCAGGGCAGGATGGAGAAAGATGGAGCAGAAGCAGCGGGAGGAGACTAACCCATCTTCCCTTTAGAGGGCAGTGGTGCTCATCGTACAAAAACTGTGTTTCCCAGGAGGTAAAACCCTCACCGTTATCAACTGGGGTCAGCAGCACCACAGCAGCAACAAGGAATAGGAAAACCAGCACCGACGTGATGCTGCCGGCCCCACTACACCGTGCAGAACAGCATCTGATTCTGACACACTTTCTGTAATGCTCTGTGCAGGGGCTCATTAATTTCCCCTTGTTTTCCTTCTCAGTAATCAGACGAGTAATTAGGGTTTCATAGAGAGGCTTCTTTTCTCCTGCCACACCGTGACCACCGTCTAGGGTGAAGCTCTCCTTTCCATCAACGTTTGCCAAGTCACAGCCTCTCTCCGAGCCAGAGGAGCCATTCCTGCTCCATTTATGCCAAACCACACTGGAAAGCCAAATAAGAGACGATTTCAAAGGCTGTACTAACCTTTTCATGGGTTTGGGCGAGGCCTCCCGCTCCAGGTTGGAGGACGCGTGCTTGACGTGCATGGCGTTGTAGGAGGTGTGGGTGTACTCGTTTTCGTCGCTGTAGTCAGGACCGAGCAATGTCCGAGCCCACGTCCCCATGTCGTAGGGAGGCAGGGTCCCCCCAAATTCCGAGGGCAGGCATTCAGGGTGTATTAGCTGGTGGAGGCTGTTCAGGTTGTTACCGTGAAGAAAGATCTTTTAACAAAATGAAAAGAAAGTTTAAAGTTGTCATCGATTCCTTACTTCATTAAGTACAATAATACCAGCACTAATGAGGTGTGGAGCATCATTAGTTGATGCTGCAGTTCCAGGTGGGAAGTTCTGAAGCTCTCAGGGCTGGCCTGGGCGGGCAGGAGGAGGGGTGGAAATTAGCTTTGGAGTGTGCAGCTGTGGAATTAGGCTGTCATAGAATCATAGAATAGTTTGGGTTGGAAGCGACCTATAAAGATCATCTAGTCCAACCCTCAACATGTTCAACTAGATCAGGTTGTCACCATAAACACATCTGAAAATCCTAATTCACTTATTATCAGCACACAACACTTTCACTTTCTTAAGTACCAGATCATGGAATATCATAGAATAGTTTGGGTTGGAAGCGACCTATAAAGATCATCTAGTCCAACCCTCAACATGTTCAACTAGATCAGGTTGTCACCATAAACACATCTGAAAATCCTAATTCACTTATTATCAGCACACAACACTTTCACTTTCTTAAGTACCAGATCATGGAATGTGCAAGTCAGGAATAATAACTGATTATTACTACTAGAAGAGGGCATAGGCTTCCATGTTGGGCGCTGGAACAGGTTGTCCAGGGAGGTGGTTGAGGCCCCATCCCTGGAGATATTCAAGGTGAGGCTCGATGAGGCCCTGGGCAACCTGGTCTAGTTGGGGGTGTCCCTGCTGACTGTGGGGAGGTCGGACTAGATGGCCTTTGGAGGTCCCTTCTGGCCTGGACAATTCTATGATTCTATGAAGAGCGGTGAGAAGGAAAGGGAGATAGTGCAGCTTACTGAAAGAAGGTCCTCAAGTTCTGAGAGGGTAACCCAGCCCTGTGCCTCAGGACTGACTTTTCCCAGGGGTCTGTGTCACCACTTTGCACTGCTTTGGTGACTTTTGTCTTTCTAATCCCTCTCTGCTTTCAGGCTGGTACGACCCTTGTCCTGCCTGGTCAGAGACACCCCGGTGTGGGCTCTGGGGCCTCCTGAGAGATGGTCCAGTGGTTATTTCATAGACTGCAGAGGACAAACGGCCAAGATGACCACAGTTCACACGGGTTTCTCTTCTGCAGTGTAAGCAAACAGCCCTCAGGCATTTTTTTGTAGAAACAAGTGAGTTACCACCATGTGAAAACAGTCAACTTGCTGAAGGAACAAAATAGGAAATTTTACTCTCACAAAAAGGGTTGAGCTGCAGTTACCCTCACTGCAGGTGACCTCAGCCTGGTCTGATAATCCCTCCACATTACTAATTCTCTCTGTCCCTCAGCATGTCCCATTAAAATATATCCACACTTTGTTAGTGATAACAGCTTTCTGGTCCCTGGCTGAGTTATTGATCCAAGCCAGACCATTGCAAACTCTAAGTTTTAATAACGGCAGCAATTCTCTGAGGCCATATGAAAAATGCAGAAAGAAAAAGAAGGAAGAAAGCGGGCAGCTACTCAGCTACTCCAGTTTTACAGCTTCCTATCCCACCGCCCCCCCCGGCCCCGTCTAATTACCCTTTTCCTTGTCTTGTCTTTGAGGAACGGTTTGATTAGTGTGTACAGGGCATGGATGTACCAGGGCTGGTTGACAAAATGGACTCCTCCAAAACGGGCAGGAAAGCTGTCCTACAGAAAGAAAGGAAAGGAGGGCAGGCAGTTAATAGATGCAGTGTTTTTAGTCAGGCAGTCAGTAGGATGAAAGTCCAGAGGATGAAGCCTGCCTCTTTCCATCTGCAAACGAGCACTGGGCTTGGCCAGGAGGGGGGCAGGAGGGAGGTGGAAAAAGAAAGATGCCTGGAAACGTTTGCATCAGTTGCCCGTGTTAGCAGACGCAGTCCCTTCTCCCCTCCACGCATCAACTGCTGATGATTTGAAGTGGGCTCTCCAGCCTGAACGTTTTTTTAACTCCATCAGGGCACCCGACTTGGCTGGGATGAGGGGGTGAGAGGGGGCCGACGAGCCCCGCTCCCTGGAGGGGAAGCTTTCCCCATTCCCCATTGTGCAGCACCAAGGCAAGCCCCTCTGGTTCCCACGCACAGCCCATGGCTGGGCACAGCTCACCTTTTCACCCTCCGGCCCCCCCAGCCTCCCCCCCAACCCCAGCTAAAATCATCATTACAATGGGTGACCTTTCGGGGTGAGCGAGCAGCAGCAGCAGCAGCCTATTCCAGGGAGGAGGATGGGTGGGAAAGGCTGATAAGTGAAGGTGTAGGGGGGGAGAAGAGAGAGAGACAGCACCATGGAAACTGGCTGTGCACAAACACCCCGGGCATTAGCATGCAGGTAGCGTCCCACCGGGGAGGTGTTTGCTATCGCCTCCTGCTTTAATGAAAGAGGAGGTTGCTGGCATGCCTTTAAAGGTTATTGTAATATTGTGGTGGGTATTTTGTACCTACGCTCTCATCTAACAAAATGTCAGTCGGGAGGGGAAGAGCCCAGGGTTTTTTTTTTGCGGCGCCTTAAATGGTGGGAGAACGGCAGCTCCTGAGGGAAAATGCGCTTCCAGCGAGAGGAGAGGTGCCTGTCGCTCCCTCCTGAAGGGAGATCCTGATGGAGCCGTCCTTGCCCTGCCCCTGCTCCTAACCCCTACAGCTCACAGTATAAGGACAGAGCATAATCAGGTCTCTTCCTCAAGGGCTTTGACTTCTGGACTCAGGCAGGTTTATTCCCCCCACAATTAGCGCGGGGTATCCTTGGGCTTTCTCTCACCTTCCTCTGGAGCATCAGAGATTGAGCACAGCTGGTGGGGACATGGGGTGGAGTTGTGAGATGATATGGAAAGTCCCCCTACACACCTGCTTGATAAAGCTTCTGTGCGGCTTCAAGGTCTAACGGTTTCCCAGATGAGGTGTCCCACCACCTCTCACCACCCAGGTCGGACTGTCAGGACTCTCCATCCTCTTTAGCACTGGCCATGGATTGCCCTGGCAGTCATCTTAAACCATGCTTGGGTCATGATTATGAGTCTCCACAAGCATTAAGTGATACCTTTTTCTTTTGCTATCCAGTAGTACGAGCAGTTTACAATTCAGTTTACCTGAAATCATTACAGATCTCAATATTGGACACCGTGCAAGACTAGTGAGTGGTCAGGCCAGCACACAGGAGGCCAAGCAGTGTAACATAAATTAACATAAAATAACAACCGATCCCATTTTAAGTCCCAGAAAACTATGAGCTGAGCTTTTTAAGGATGGCACATGCCATCATTCACTTCATGATGACTGTATTTCCATCACTGCTGGAATGTTTATTAGAGTTTAGGGACGCAGCTCTGACTGGTATGAGCCTCTGCAGGTTGCAGTGACTTCAACTGGGCTGTGCTGCAGAGAATCTGAGCCCACCTAGAAAAAACATTGACCAAATAGAAGTGCGAAGCCCAAAGCGATTTTCTACCCTACCTAAAATTGGGGGTTAGAGCAGACCAGAGCAAAAAACGTCCATCTCACACAAAATTCACCTATTCAGCTGCTTTCCTCCCACATGGAAATGAAAATTTGAAGATTTGAAACTTTTCACAGAATATTCTAAATAAAATAGTATTAAAAAATATTGGAATGCTCCATATTTGCCTTTCTTTTTTTTTTTGTTTTAGTTCTATATTTGTCAAAGCAGCTGCCATCCCACAAGCTGTATGAGAGAGGGTAGAAGTTCTGGACTCCTTTGCTCTTTGGGGCTAAGCTGTCCCAGCCATCGCAGGTTGTACCGTAGCAGCAAGCACAGGTCAGTGTAGAAGACACAGTCTGAGTTTGAAGCAAAGGACAGCAAAGAAATGAGCGATGGGAGGCAAGGGAATAACTTTAAGACACAGAGATTTATACTGGCCTGAAAGAGAAAAATTGTTTTCTCTTCTCACTAGAATGCACGGATGATATTAATCACAATCTTCAGTGAGACAGAATTAATTTCCAAGGGGGAACATGGTTTATTTTAGAACATGTTGACCAGCCCTAATGATACCACATTACCTGGAAAGGTCTGAATGCTGAAAATTACAGGAACCAGCCAGAGGTTAAAACTGGAAAAGGTCGACTAAGGAGAAGGATGTAATTTCCTATATAGAAGATGAATTTTATGTCCACCCAACATAGACTGTTGAGTCCATACACTAGATTCTGTATGGTACATCAATAGATTGTTACAGGAAAGCCCCTCACATAAGTGTTATTTATAGGCAATCGCTTTCTTTTCATTCTGAAGGTACACCTGAAAATGCACAGACCCTTGAAAAGGCAGCATGATGGCCAGGAAAAAAACAATAACCAAAGAACATTTTTTTGTGTGCGTAACTCTCTGCTAATTTTTGTTCCTTACTCTATGAAGCACAATAAGGTCAATTTGACCTTCATCCTGCAGTCCACCCACATTTGTAAGGCTGTCAATTAGAACAAGGACAAAGACATAATTTTTTTTTTTTTTTTTTTTTTTAAACCAAAGAAATTTGATATGGGAATCATCCAGACACTGTTTGGAACCGCAACATACCAATTTTGTGAAATAAATAAGCAAAAGATTTAGACCTATAAAGCCATTTTGGTTTTTTTTTGCTTGTTTGGGTTTTTTTTTTTTTTTTTTTTTTTTAAACCAAAGAAATTTGATATGGGAATCATCCAGACACTGTTTGGAACCGCAACATACCAATTTTGCAGAAGTCCCTAATTAGAGCAGAGCTGTCTTGGAAAGAAAAGCTCCCGTCTGGAGCTCTGCCTTGCGCAGTTCCAGGAAGATGTATGAGTCCTTTCCCACACCCCACTTAGTGTCTCTGCTGCTTTCCCTGGGGCAAGGGGAAAGTAGCTGAAATTGATTTTCTGCTGGAGAGCTTTTGCTTTTAGGAATTCTCTTTTGATTTCTCATGTCTTGTGATTCCTTGGGAAGGTGTATTTGATAATGAGGTACATTTTTTGGAGCCTACTGTGAAAAGGACCCTGGGATCATGGAGCCTGTTCTTAACCTCATTCCTTGTTAAAAATACCCAGTCCTGAGTTTATGCTATTTTATTCCAATGGCATTAGTAAAAGATAACACGTAGGAATTAGTCTAATTATTTGTGGGCACTACTGTCATTTTATCTGAAAACTGGGCTGGGCTTATTAATATGTTGCTCAGACATGAATAAATACATCCAACCCAGTGCTAATCTAGCTAACTTGCTACTCAGCAGTAGCAGGGAAGAAACAGTGAAAAGACTCCAGATATGGACTTAGGCAGCCAGCTCACTCCAGAGTCAGACCAGATCTTCTTCATTGGGACCCAAATCAAACTACAGCAAGGAATATCCCTAACCAGAGAGGGAAAACTGTTCAAACACAGGGTTTTAGTTATTTGCTGTTGAAACTGATGCTAAAGATGGGACTTTTCTTTTGCCTGTTTCACCTTTTTTTAATTTTACATATTTTTTTTTTCTTTTACTGTTTTCAGTTATTCCCCTCTGCACCATCCCCAAAGAAAAAAAAGAAATGAACAGTTGAGTGCCTCAGTGGAGTTGCCTCAGACACCCCAAAATCCATACAGGCCTCGATACGTCTTTCATTTCAGCTGGGAGAAGTGTCTCCAAGATTGCAGATGGGAGGAAAACATTACGGAGATCATTGTTTCCCTTCTCAGCTCAGACTTCCTGTGCAGGGAAATTTCTGAATTGAAATGAGTCTGGTACTGAAAACCCTCGGTACATAATGTTCCACTAAATAGCTCGGGAGCGATAGCTATGAAGTGAATGAGAGACAATTTTTCACTATTTCTGCCCGCTCTTGCCTTCATGACATCTATTTCTTTTGGCATGAGTTTGCAACGAAAACCTTTTACTCTTTTGTTGTTCTGAACTGCTTGAAAGCTAAAAATCAAGATGATCTTCCAGCATCTCCTCACACCAAAGTGTGGCAGAGAAGCAGAACAATCTTTTGAATACCAGTATCAGGAATAAATCCAACCGGGTGCTCATAGCGAATCCTTTCGAACTGCATGAATTGGCTTCATAGACCAATGACCTGAGCTCAAAAACTAAATTACGGCATATTTCTAGGTTACAGAACACCAGAATTTTGTGACACAAATATTTTCAAAATCCTTTCATAACTTCTACGCTTCGCAATCACAAAGGCAAACACACATCCTGCCATCCAAATGCGCTTTAATCTCGACCATACTCGCCCGTTTACTGCAAATCAAAATATAATCCCCTTTGAAAGAAAATGATTTTCCTTAGATTCAGGCAGATTTAAATCACAAACAATACTGTTTAAACCTAAAGGTCATTTAAACTGGGGATAAAATCAGCATCTTCATGCCTGTGCACTTATATAATCAGTCCCGGCGGTGGATTAAAGCTCCCACAGACTGTATTAATAGTTCAGGAAGATTTTATTAATAGTTCGGTGATAGTTTCCCCACAGAGAGTTTCCGCGAGTGTGTGATTTTAATGGATTGGCACGGTAAGGGAAGGGGGCTTCCCCTCCTCCAGCTCTGGATCCAGATCCAGGCTCTGACACAGTGGCAGTGGTTGAAAATTGTTGTTGTTGTTGCTGTCCCCCAGATTTTACGACTTTGTCAGGTATTGGCTAGGTCGTGTCCATCAAAAACACGTTCCTGAGCACATTTGAATGAATGTCACCTAACGCCCTTGGTGCCGA